AAGGCAATTGAATATTCTAACAGGCTGCCTCATATTTTATTCTTTTAACTGCGCATCTGAAGGAGGCAATGTGATATGAATTAATCCGCTGCTTCTGGGTGTCACATAGCAAGAGCCCTGAGAATCAGTTGTCTGCTCAAGATGGTGTAACATTACAAAATACACAAGCATGAGAATGAGTGCATGTGTGACTGGTTGCAGGCTGTTTTATTTCAGCCTTATTCTGGTGTTGCTTAGGTTTGTCTGCTTACATAACAGCCAAGAAGCAAGGCTTGACTACTCTGCAGTCATTTTGTAACATACTCTAGGCACTTATTTCAGCACAGAGTTTCTTAAGTACCACTGTCTTTGTTCTCACACAGATTTCAATACAATACTGTAACAAGCCTGGCGTGTGAGTCCTTCTGCAGAATGACCAGGACTCAGTCACCTGTTATGCGCAGAAGCAGCTTCCTGCAGGTCATGGAGGTAGCACGGAGGGGTTTGGTTGTCGTCTGCTTCTTCTGGAAGAGGATGGTGGTCAAGGCTGCTTCGAGACAACCCACGACTGCAATAAAGACAGATTTAGAGCATTCAGTGAAAAAGCAATCAACAAAAGAGTGTGCAATTGCATTTTGGGATGCTAGGGAAGGATATTAATATGTCAGCTCCAACTACCAAGTCTGAATCTGAACACTGTGCTGAAATGCAATAGAAAAAAGCATGCATGCAACTAAGGTGTGCAAAAGCTCCATTACCATGAGTCTTATTAAAATTATTTTTGCAATGAGAAACACAGCCTTTATAAAAGGGAATGATAAGGTCAAAGCAGATTACGATGGATCTAAAGGAATCAGATGTAGAGTCCCTATTATAGTCACTGATGAACTTACGGAACATATACAGTGCTGTGAAAACTATTTGCCACCCTTCCTAATGGCTGATTCAGATCATCAGTCAAATGTTAAGATTCGACAAAAATAACTCTGGTAAATACAACATTGAGTTTTTAAATGGATGTATGGGTAAAACCTATTAACTGGCTTTGCCACACTTGGCAGCAAGAACTGCAATTTAGAGTTTGTGTTTGCGATAACAGGCAATGCTTAAAATTCACTAGGGAAGAATTTTGGCCCACTCATCTGTGTAGAATTGTCATAACTCAGCCACACGGGTGGTTTTTTGAGCATGAAAGGTCATGCCAAAGCATCTCAATCAGATTTAAGTTCAGACTTTGACTAGGGCACTGTAAAACCTTAATTTGTCACCTCCATTCAGAACGCATTTGCTGGTGTGTTTCGAATTATTGTTCTGCTGCAGAATTCATATTTCCATCAATTATGCTTCATCTAGGTCCTGGGGCAGCAAAGCAGCCCCAGACCATCATACTACCACCACCATGTTTGAATGTTGCTGGCAGTTCCTTTTATGAAATGCTGAGTTAGTTTTACACCAGATAAAACAGGACATAAACCTTGTACAACGTTCAACTTTTGTCTCATCAGTCCAAAGATTCTTTTCCCAAAAGTCTTCATAAAGGGATCACCAAGATGTTTTCTGGCAAACGAGATGAGCCTTTGTTTCTTTCTGGTCAGCAGTGGGTTTTGCCATTGAACTCTCCCCTGCATGCCATTTTTGCCCATTTTCTTTTTTTTGTTGTTGTTGCTGAATGATGAACACTGATCTTAATTGAGACATACGAGGCCTGCAGTTTTCCAAAAGCCTTAGAAATGGCTTTGTCACCATTTCCAGAACAAAAAAATCCAGTGAATTTGTTTCTCAGCTGTTTTTGAGTTTATGTAGAGGGTGGCTCAGTGTGTTGCTTTTTGAGATCTTTTCACCCACTTACTTAAATTATTTCTTAATTCAACAGGTCTGGCAGTAATCGAGCCTGGGTGTGGCTAGTGAAATTGAACACAGCTTTCCAAACAATGTGGTTAATTTATGGCATAACAAAGGAGGGCAAAGACTTTTTCACACAGGGGCAGGTAGGTTTGGATAGCTTTTCCCCCCCCCCAAATAAATGAAATCATTTAAAAACTGTATTACACGTTTAGTTGAAATCTAAATCTTTGTTTAATATTTACTCATATATTTGTCTATTTTTTTCACTGCACTGTAATATGACAAGATGACATGAAGAAAACAGACACCAGTGAAAACAGCTGGAGATTATGTGTTTTTTAAACATTACACTGTGATTACACTTGATTCCATTGTATCT